TCTTGTGTCCCATGGGAATGTCCCCAGGAGTGACTTGGACCCGTCACCCCTCGTCTTCCCCGGGGGACTCCCTCCAAAAAAGGGAGTTTCCATCCTCTCTGCAGCCACCTTTAAAGGCTGGGACGTGTGCCCAGCTCTGCCCTGACCCTTCTCGGGGCCCAACAAACCCCCTTCTCTCAGCCTTTCCCCAGGTGGCACCTTCCCCGGCTTTGGATCATCCTGGTGGCCCTTCCCTGGGCCTTCTCCAGCCCCAACCACGGTGTTTTTTGGGCAGTGGGGACACAAAACTGAGCCCCGTGTTCCAGTGCTGAGCAGAGCGGGATGGTGGCTCCTTCTCTCTCTGTGGGTGACACCCTCAGTGACACAGCCCAGTGTCCCCGAGGGGGGTTCTTGGCCACAGCAGCCCCACTGCTCGCTCACAGGGACCCCCAGGTCCCTTCCCATGGAGCTGCTCCCCAGAGGGTAGACCCCAGCCCGTCCCACAAGGCTGGGACGTGTGCCCAGCTCTGCCCTGACCCTTCTCGGGGCCCAACAAACCCCCTTCTCTCAGCCTTTCCCCAGGTGGCACCTTCCCCGGCCCCGGATCATCCTGGTGGCCCTTCCCTGGGCCTTCTCCAGCCCCAACCACGGTGTTTTTTGGGCAGTGGGGACACAAAACTGAGCCCCGTGTTCCAGTGCTGAGCAGAGCGGGATGGTGGCTCCTTCTCTCTCTGTGGGTGACACCCTCAGTGACACAGCCCAGTGTCCCCGAGGGGGGTTCTTGGCCACAGCAGCCCCACTGCTCGCTCACAGGGACCCCCAGGTCCCTTCCCATGGAGCTGCTCCCCAGAGGGTAGACCCCAGCCCGTCCCACACTCCAGGATTGTGTCCCCGGGTGTGAGACCTCCCACTTGTCCTCGTTAAGCTTCATCAAGTTCTTAAGTGACCTTAAATGACCAACCCCAGCACCCAGGGTCCGTGTCCTGCACCCCCAACCCTGACCCAACCCTGGCTGGGGGTCCCAGGAAGGGATGGGACCCACTGGTCGGACTGGGTGGCCGTGGCATAGAGTTTGCTGGGGAGCTCACAAAAATAACTGGGTGCTTTATTTCCACCTCAAACCCCGGGTGCAGACGCTGCCGGGGGACAGCACGTCACACGCCACACGCCACACGCCACACGCATGCAGGTGGGGACACACACACATGGATGGAGCCCGGCACGGCGTGGTGGGGACACTCAGAGCTGGGGACACTCAGGGATGGACACACAGATGGTGGGGACCTGCTCTGAGGTCAGCCCAGCCCTGGCTCAGGCAGGGCCACCAGCCAGGGCACCTTGGGCCACCAACCAGGGCACCTTGGGCTACCAACCAGGGCACCTTGGGCCACCAACCAGGGCACCTTGGGCCACCAGCCAGGGCACCTTGGGCTACCAGGGCACCTTGGGCTACCAACCAGGGCACCTTGGGCTACCAGGGCACCTTGGGCCACCAGCCAGGGCACCTTCGGCTACCAGCCAGGGCACCTTGGGCTACCAGGGCACCTTGGGCCACCAGCCAGGGCACCTTCGGCTACCAACCAGGGCACCTTGGGCTACCAACCAGAGCACCTTGGGCCACCAGCCAGGGCACCTTGGGCTACCAACGAGGGCACCTTGGGCTCTGCCCAAGCCCTGGGAGCATGGGGATGGTGGCTCCATTTGTAGGAAGAGCAGCTTTGGGGACCCACGTCGGTCCTTGGAGGCCCAGCGTGACATGGGGGGCACAGAGCTCCCCAAATTCCACACAACTCCCAGTGCCAACAGGCTCAGCCCTCTCCCCCTGCCCGTTCCTCTTCCAGGGAGGCTCCAGAAGGGACCCCCATGTTCTCCGAGCACAGCACCCCGCTGTCCCCTGCAAAGGATGTCACCAAGCCCTCCTGGCCCGTGGCTACGTCCCCTGCGAGCCAGGCCTGGCCATGCATGGGGAGGAGTGGAGGAGCCTGGGGACACTGCCAGCCCCCAACTGCCACCCAGCTGGCACCACCACCATGCCAGCCCCCTGTTGGAGCCCACAGATGGGGGGTCACCTCCAGTGCCCTCCTCCTGGGGTGGCAGCAGCATCGCTGGACCCCCAGCAGTTCCCTGCTCAGGCCCTACAGCACGGGGGGAGTCGTGCAGACGTCAGGGTGAGGACTTCCAGCACCATCCCACTCCTCCTTCCTCCCCAAACTGGGCTGGAACTGGGGGCACAGCACCCCTGGCAGCACCCGTGGCTTGCTGGGGTCCTGGGGGGGCTTTTGGGAAAGGCAGAGCAGGAGAGTGTGGATGCTCTTGGCATCTGCTGTGCCCCGTCTGTCCCCCTGAACCTTCGGAGACACGAGTGCTGCCTTGAGCTTCGAGGTCCAAAAGGCCACCAAAAGCCCTTTTTGAGGGACCCCCCCCCCAAGGCTGGAGGAGGAACCGTGAGACCACCCAGGCAAAGCAGGGGCAGGGCAAGGCTGCCCCCCGCCCCGTGCCCCGATGCCAGGAGCAGAATCCTGCTCTGCCCAGAGGAGCATCATCCAAAGACACAGGTACCTGCCCCCCTCTTCTGTCCTCCTGCCCATCCCAGTAGCCAGCAGGTAGCCAGGGCAGGGGGTACTGGCTTCAGGGGTCCCCAGTAAAAGCCCCCAGCTTTTGAGAGCTCCAGGCACAGCCTGGCACCATCCACAGACACTTGTGGGGCTCAAGACTCCAGGAGGATCCTTGTGGCAGCTCCGTGGCAAACGCCCTGGTCCCGGCCCTGGGCCAAAAGGAGGGGGAAGGGGCTTCTCTGCCTCCCCCCCAAGGGAAGGGCAGCCCCCGCCTGGCACCGCCCCCACGCCGGCTTAGAAGTGCTTGTCCTCCAGCAGAGAGCTCACCACCAGCTCCTTGTTGCCGAAGTCCCAGAAGGCAGTCATGTGGAAGGCCATGTTGGAGAGGACGACCAGGTACTCCAGGAAGGCGAAGATGGTGTACACTGGGGGAGGAAAGGTGGACAATGAGGGGAAACTGCAGCCAGATCGGCCCCAGGAACCAGGGGGTCTCCTGGGGAACCTCCCTGGGGTGGCAGGGCATGGGGGGGGTGGTGGGATCCCCTGCTTGACCCGTGAGGGAGAAGGGAGAAGGGAGAAGGGAGAAGGAGAAGGGAGGAGAAGATGGAAGGGAGAAGATGGAAGGGAGAAGGGAGAAGGCGAAGAAGAAGGGAAAAGGAGAAGAAGGAGGAGAGGGAGGAGGAGAAGGAAAAGGAGGAGAAGGAGAAGGTGAAGGAGAAGGGAGAAGGAGAAGAAGGAAAAGATAGGAGAAGGGAAGAAGGAGAGGAGAAGGAGAGGAGAAGAAGGAGAAGGAGAAGGAGAAGGAGAAGGAGAAGGAGAAGGAGAAGGAGAAGGAGAAGGGAGAAAGAAGGAGATGGGAGAAGGGAGCAGGAGAAGGGAGAAGGATAAGGATAAGGATAAGGATAAGGATAAGGATAAGGATAAGGAGAAGGAGGATAAGGATAAGGATAAGGATAAGGAGAAGGAGAAGGAGAAGGAGAAGAAGGAGAAGGAAAAGGAGAAGGAGAAAGAGAAGGAGAAGGGAAGAAGGAGAGGAGAAGGAGAAGGAGGATAAGGATAAGGATAAGGATAAGGAGAAGGAGAAGGAGAAGGAGAAGGGAGAAGAAGGAGAAGGGAGAAGAAGGAGGAAATAGGAGAAGGGAGAAGGAGAAGGATATGAGAGAAGAGAGAAGGGAGAAGGAGAAGTGAGATGGGAGAAGGGAGCAGGAGAAGGGAGATGGGCACCATCCCTCCCTCCTGGGGGAGCTCTCCTGGCCTCTGGCTGGGATTTGGCAGGGAAAGTGTCCCCCTGGTCCCTTCCCCACCTGCACCCCCCAGGCAGAGCTGAGAGGGATCCAGGGGGGACACACCAGAGCCCTGCCCCAAGGGAAGAAGGAGAAGGAGAAGGAGAAGGGGAAGGAGAAGGAGATAAGGAGGAGAAGAAGGAGAAGGAGAAGAAGGGAAAAGAAGGAGAAGGAGAAGTGAGATGGGAGAAGGGAGCAGGAGAAGGGAGATGGGCACCATCCCTCCCTCCTGGGGGAGCTCTCCTGGCCTCTGGCTGGGATTTGGCAGGGAAAGTGTCCCCCTGGTCCCTTCCCCACCTGCACCCCCCCAGAGTTGAGCTGAGAAAAAGGAGAGGAGAAGGAGAAGGAGGATAAGGATAAGGATAAGGATAAGGAGAAGGAGAAGGAGAAGGAGAAGGGAGAAGAAGGAGAAGGGAGAAGAAGGAGGAAATAGGAGAAGGGAGAAGGAGAAGGATATGAGAGAAGAGAGAAGGGAGAAGGAGAAGTGAGATGGGAGAAGGGAGCAGGAGAAGGGAGATGGGCACCATCCCTCCCTCCTGGGGGAGCTCTCCTGGCCTCTGGCTGGGATTTGGCAGGGAAAGTGTCCCCCTGGTCCCTTCCCCACCTGCACCCCCCAGGCAGAGCTGAGAGGGATCCAGGGGGGACACACCAGAGCCCTGCCCCAGCCCCCTTACCTCCGGGGCCACAGTACCAGTTGTGGTGGAAGTAGACGCACACGGCAAACGCAAAGGTGATGAAGGTGAAGAAGAAGAGCAGCTGCTTCCACTTGTAGGACTTGCGCTCCTGGAAGAGGCCAAGAGCTGGGTCACAGCCCCCTGTCCCTCCAGCCCACGGTGCCCACCCTGTCCCTCTTGCCCAGCATGGCAGGGACACGCCAAGGCCACCAGCATCTCAACCCTCATCCCTACGGATCCTGGAGATGCTGGAGACACCTCCATCTCCATGGAAGCTCTGGGGGATACATGGGCAGGCACTGGGAGCCCCTCTGCACCCTGGCTCCTTGGGCACAGCCACTTGGGTAAGGCCCCCATGGGCCACTTTGGCCGGGCTGTGACTTGGGGACACGTTGGGGGTTCACTCCTACGTGGAGATCATAGAATCATAGAATGGTCTAGGTTGGAGGAGACCCTTGGGATCATCGAGTCCAACCATCTCCCCTACTCTACAAAGTCCTCCCCTACACCATGTCCCTCAGCACTGCATCTAAACGGCCCTTCAACACAGCCAGGGATGGGGACTCCCCCCCCTCCCTGGGCAGCCTGTTCCAATGCCCGACCACTCTTTGGGTGAAAAATTCCTTCCTCATGTTCAATCTAAACCTCCCCTGTTGGAGCTTGAAGCCATTGATAAACCAGGCTGATGCCAGGGCTCCCCATGGTAGGACATGAGGTAGCCCCAAGGCCAAGCTCCCACCCATGACTCGCTGCCACAGCCCAGTGAGGGGTGACAGGAGCAACAGGGACCTCCAGCATCATCTGACACCAACAAGCCACATGGCCACCAACCTCCTCTTCTCCAAGAGATAAACCAGGCTGATGCCAGGGCTCCCCATGGTAGGGCATGAGGTAGCCCCGAGGCCAGATCCCACCCGGGACTCGCTGCCACAGCCCAGTGAGGAGCGACAGGAGCCCCGGGGACCTCCAGCATCGTCTGACACCAACAAGCCACACGGCCACCAACAAATCACAGAATCATAGAATCATCTGGGCCCGAAGGGACCTCCAAAGGCCATCTAGTCCGACCTCCCCGCAGTCAGCAGGGACACCCCCAACTAGACCAGGTTGCCCAGGGCCTCGTCGAGCCTCTCCTTGAATATCTCCAGGGATGGGGCCTCAACCACCTCCCTGGGCAACCTGTTCCAGTGCTCCACCACCCTCACAGTGAAGAACTTTCTCCTAATCTCCAACCTAAATCTGCTTTTCTCCAGTTTAAAGCCATTACCCCTTGTTCTGTCATTGACAGCCTTTGTAAACAGGCTCTCCCTAGCCTTCTTGTAGGCCCCTTTCAATCATAGACTAATAGAATGGTTTGGGTGGGAAGGGACCTTAAAGACCATCCAGTTCCATCCAGGGACACCTCCCACCAGAGCAGGTTGCTCCAAGCCCCCTCCAACCTGCCCTTGAACCCCTCCAGGGATGGGGCAGCCACAGCTTCTTGGGGCAACCTGGGCCAGGCTCTCACCACTCTTCCAGCAAACAAGTTCTTCCCCACAGCTCAGCTCCATCTCCCCTCTTTCAGGGTCAAACCCTTCCCCCTCCTCCTAGGGCTCCCCTCCCTCCTCAAGAGTCCCTCCCCAGCTTTCCTGGAGCCCCTTGAGGGACTGGAAGGGGCTCCAAGGTGTCCCCGGAGCCTTCTCTTCTCCAGGCTGTGGGTTTGAACAACATCTGAAGAACCAACGGGGGTGACCCCGGAGGCAGGAGGACCCAGGATGGTGCTGGGACGCACAGGGGGGCCCCAAGCAGCTCCCCAAAGACGGGCCAACGGCTCTACCAGACAGTAGATCCTCCAGCTGCGGATGGGGGGGCTGCAGGTGGCCCTGTCTCCCCCCACCCCCAGCTCCGGGCGATGCCCAACGGCCCCGGTGGGTGCGGGGAATTCACCCGGTGTGCGCAGGCGGGGGCCGCCGGCACCGCACCCCCTCGCTCGCAACCGCGCCGGGGAGGAGGAGGAGGAGGAAAACCACATGAAGGGTTGGCAGCAGCGCTGGAGACATCACACGAGCAGCCTTTGGCACCAGAGTTGGGGGGGCCCCCCCCCCCCAGCACCACCTCCAACAGCACAACAGGCCCCCAGCAACGCAGTGTCCGCACCCCCCCAGCGAAGGGGGCAGGTGAGGGGCCAGCCCTTAACTCCAAATTGGGGTCCACCAACCCACCGCCCCATCCAGACCCTGCCTGGCACCCCTCCCAGTGTCCCCCCCCCAAGAAGCCATGGTGGGTACCAGCTCCAGCCCCTTCCCATCTGTCTCCCATCACCATGAGCATCATGGAGAAAGGATCCCTCTTTCAGGGTCAAACCCTTCCCCCTCCTCCTAGGGCTCCCCTCCCTCATCAAGAGTCCCTCCCCACCTTTCCTGGAGCCCCTTTAGGGACTGGAAGGGGCTCCAAGGTCTCCCCAGAGCCTTCTCCTCTCCAGGCTGAACCCCCCAACTCTCTCAGCCCCCCCTCCCAGCAGAGGGGCTCCAGCCCCCCCAGCATCTCCGGGGCCTCCTCTGGCCCCATCCAACAGCTCCATGTCCTTCTGCTGGTGGTGGCCCCACAGCTGGAGGCAGCACTGGGCGGGGGGTGTCCTGGGGGGAGTGGGGAGCCCCTATGGCCACGGAACCCCAAACAGTGGCCAAACACCACAGAGGACAATGGTGACACCCCAATATCTCCATCCCAGCGCAGGGTGGCAAACAGTGGGGTGGGAAGGGGGGGGTCAGCCCCACAGACAGGGGCCGGGGATGCCACAGCACGGCCCAGACACGGGCTGTTATTCCTGTTTCTGTGTGGGAGGGGAATTTCCCCCCTCGTCTGACGTTTCACGTGAGGGAGAAAAAAAAAACAACAAAAACCCCTCCATTTTCAGGGACTGCTGAGAAAGAAGGAAAATTTAAATTGCCCCATCAAACTTTCCATTACCCCCCGGAAAGTTGCCGAGAGCACAAACAGGTCACGGCAGGGAGGAGGAGGAAAACCCAGAGAGGAAGAAACGGCCTCGCCGTCGCCTTCGCCATGGGGGGGGACGTGGGGCCGACGCCGCCGTCATGGGGGCCCGGGCCAGGTCCTTTGCTGCTGGGTGTCTCTCCAGTGGGACCCTCCGGAGCGGGGCTCGGTGCAGGCAGCCCCCTGCCCGTGGGGTGGGGAGAGCAGCGGTGCCAACCCCAGGGGTTAAATAACACCGAGCTGCCGGGGCCCTGGCTTTTATGTAAAGTTTCACACCGGAAAAGCGGGTCAGAAACAGCCTTGTTTTCATCCAAGGTCCCGCGGCGGCGGCGGAAACGGTTACGAAGCTGCAAAAGCGGAGGCCGGGGCCTGGGCTCCTCACGGGGAAGGTGAGGGGTTCCTCGCTGTGCTCCCCTGCACAGCACTGTGTCATCATCATCATCATCATCATCATCATGGAATCACCAGTGAGGGGTTCCTCGCTGTGCTCCCCTGCACGGTGTGTCATCATCATCATCATGGAATCATCATGGAATGGTTTGGGTGGGAAGGGACCTTAAAGACCATCCAGTGCCACCCCCTGCCCTGGGCAGGGACACCTCCCACCAGAGCAGGTTGCTCCAAGGCCCCTCCAACCTGCCCTTGAACCCCTCCAGGGATGGGGCAGCCACAGCTTCTCCACACAACCTGGGCCAGGCTCTCACCACCCTCCCACCAAACAAGTTCTTCCCCACATCTCAGCTCCATCTCCCCTCTTTCAGGGTCAAACCCTTCCCTCTTGTCCTAGGGCTCCCCTCCCTCATCAAGAGTCCCTCCCCAGCTTTCCTGGAGACCCCTGAGGGACTGGAAGGGGCTGGAAGGTCTCCCCGGAGCCTTCTCTTCTCCAGGCTGAACCCCCCAACTCTCTCAGCCCCCCCTCCCAGCAGAGGGGCTCCAGCCCTCCCAGCATCTCTGTGGCCTCCTCTGGAGCTGGATGCAGCACTTGGTGGGGGGTGTCTCCCCAGAGCGGAGCAGAGGGGCAGAATCCCCCCCTGGCCCTGCTGGCCACGGGGCTGGGGATGCAGCCCAGGATGTGGGGGGCTTTCTGGGCTGCCAGCCCATGTTGATGGCTCATGTTGAGCTTCTCATCCACCATTCTCATCTGGATACCCCTGCAGGGCTGGGGCAGAAGGATGATGTAGGGGGCAGAGGGAGGAGGGGCAGAAGGATGAGGTAGGGGGCAGAGGGATGGGGGGCAGAAGGATGATGCCCAGGCAGAGAGACAGGGGGGCAAGAGGATGATGTAGGGTCAGAGGGATGGGGGGCAGAGGGATGATGCAGGTTTAAGGGATGATGTGGGGGCAGAGGATGCAGCCAGGTCACTGCCATCCTTGGCCACCAGCCCCAAGGAGTGGCCACCCAAGAATGAGGTGCTCCAAGCCCAGCTGGAGTCAGGTTCCCCCCCCACCAGGCCCTTGCTGGGGGCTACTGGGCTGGCAGGGCTGCAGCTGGCAACGCTCAGCTGCCAACCCCGGCTTCGCAATTTCCTCCAGGACACCCGGTGTCCCCTGCAAACCTCTCCAGTGACACACAGCCCCCCTCCCCGAGCCACCCCCGCCCCTGGCCGGGTGCGTGTCTGGCCCAGAAAACCACAGGCAAATTATATTTAGCCCCGTCAGCTCGCAGGGGCTGAGCCCAGGCACGTTCCCCGTGCACACAAAGGTGAGGCAGGAGCCCAGATGATCATAGAATCATACAATGGTTTGGGTGGGAAGGGACCTTAAATCCAGTTCCATCCAGGGACACCTCCCACCAGAGCAGGTTGCTCCAAGCCCCCTCCAACCTGGCCTTGAACCCCTCCAGGGATGGGGCAGCCACAGCTTCTCCACCCAACCTGGGCCAGGCTCTCACCACCCTCCCACCAAACAAGTTCTTCCCCACAGCTCAGCTCCATCTCCCCTCTTTCAGGGTCAAACCCTTCCCCCTCCTCCTAGGGCTTTTGTGGTCCCCTCCCCGGGGCTTCAGCAGCTCCTGCTCCAGCAGCACGAGCAGAAATGGCTTAAGGAGGGATGAGGTGGGGACAGGAGCGGCCACAGAGAGGAGCAAGCCCAGGTGCTGGTGGGTCTCCCCGTGGTTTGCACCCCAACATCACCTCTG